TATAATAGTACGTATGCAGCTAGTAGTTATATAGTACTGTGGTAGCAGTTTGGTATACTAGTACTAGAGTAGTCTAGTAGTAGTAGTAGTAGTAGTAGTAGTAGTAGTACTAGTAGTACTAGTAGCAGTACTGGTAGTACTAGTAATACTAGTAGTACTAGTAGTAGTAGTAGTAGCAGCAGCAGTAGTAGTAGTAGTAGTAGTCGTCGTAGCAGTAGCATTAGCAGTAGCAGCAGCAGCAGCAGCAGTAGTAGTAGTAGTAGCAGCAGCAGCAGCAGCAGTAGCAACAGTAACAGGAGTAGCGCTAACTGCGGGAGTAGGAGTCGGATAGAAGTAGCATGTAATCGCACACCCGGAAAGCAGTCGCGCCTTCCGACGCCGCAGGCGCAGCAGAGCCTCCTCCCTCCCCTGGCTCAGTTTGGGTTCGAACATTTAACACAGCCTTTCCAGCCGAAGTGCAGTAGCTGCGAAAGTCGGATCTCGCAGTTCAGCGCCATGTTACAGCTTCCGACCTTTTCTGACAACATGTCCCGCCTCCTCGTTGTAGGGAGATGACAAGACTTCGATCTCTAGCGAGATGCCATGGTGGCTTTGGACTCTGTTCGGCTGATCCTCTTTGAAACTCACCTCAATAGAGTCAACAGATCGCCGCATGCAAGTATGAATGCGGAATTCGGGATTTCCAGGAAGTGCTTCTGCCACCCGGAAACACTCTGCATACATTTCGCTCTCAGCAGCTCCGCATACATTCACGACTCAACTACTTGCTGCCCCAGGTGCAGCAGCATCGAAATTGACACAACTGTCCACGAGCTTGAGCGGCAACCCTGCAAGCAGCTCGGGATTCAAGACACCTTGTTCAACCTGGGCGTCAAGGTCGGAATCTGTCCAGGCTGCATCAGCTCGCGTGTGACATGTCGGCTGGTGCTGTGATTCACCGTGAGTGCTATGATCTGCATTTCCAGAGTAGAAACTCTTGTACAACACCACACATTCCTGAATCGAGAGGGGGGGCAGAAAACACACACACACACACACCCATGTCACAAGCTAGACCTCTGCAGCCGGGACTCGTGGAGCGAGCGCTTGCCGGCGTGCGGTGTCACGATCCCTTTGTCTTTCACAAAGTACCTAGAGTTGCGGCACTGTTACAGCTTGAAAACTGTGTTGCAAGTCAACCCTATGAAGCCAAACTTGCAATGTTCCATGGCGTCGCGCACGAACTTCAAAAGGCGGCTCACAGGTGGTGTGCATTCAAACCCTTTCCTCATGATCCCCTCCCTGGCGTTGCATCCAAAGCACTTTTCCAGCGCAAGGAACTTCTTCACGAGCGCGCTGACAAGTGACATTGCCTGTTCATGTTCAGCGCAACCCCACAGCGACACAGCTATCCAAGGGACTCGGCCGACGGAGCTCTTGGAATCAGGCTTGGCAAGGTGGGGAGCATAGAAACGAAACGTGGGATGTGGAAGCCAGCATGTGGCAACGACGCGAAATGTGGCAGAGCCACGCAGGACCATAGCTCTAGAACGCAAGGGGGCCCAGTCGAACTGTAGCCGTCAGCAAGACCACCAACGAGCAGTGAAGCAATCGATTCCTGTACTGAGCCATGTTGCCTAATCGCGCTGATTCAGTGTTCAGCTCGTTACACATGTTGCCTATGACCTAGCGCTGCCCGACAGGAAACAGGACCAGGCTTCTCTGTGAACCACAAGAAGTGAGCTCCGTTTGAGGTAACGGAGCTGTTCTGATTCTTTCTTGTGCTCCTGATCTGTCTTGTGTGCTACTGAGTCTTCCTGCTGTGGTGTGCGTGTGTTTGTGCAGTTCGTTATTCAGACTTAGGCTTTGTCTCCATCAGCATTACAGGCGGCATGGCGCAAACCTTTTCTCACTGTTGCTGTTGCTCAAGGCATACTGTCTTGAATGGTGGGAATCGCCACATCTACCTACTCGGGGTGGATGGGTGGGTGGGTGGGCGGGCGGGCGGGCGAGCGGGTGGGTGGGCGGGCGGGTGTGCCTGGACTCATGTCAGTGGGTTCAAGCACATGGCCCAGACTGTGCATCTCGTCGAAGGGCGCGAAGCTATGCAAAAGGTCGCTAGAGTCTGCTACGCGCACAGGCTACGTCGGCATCATGCTTGTTGAAGTTAGGGTCTTTTCCTGCTGGAATATTGCAGCTTGTCGCTGCATGTGCTTCATTCGACATGGGACTGGCTGCTGTGTGACGTCTTCTTTCACAACAAATGGCATCGGCACCGCTGGAGGTGGACCCCGGCAACCTACCTCCAGGAACGTCAATTTAGCAGCACTCCCGGACCGATCTGTCCTATGTTCATGCTTTAGTATGGCATAGCAAGGCAGTTGAAGTCGCAGGCAGACAGAAGGAATCGTTGCCGTACCATGACAGGACCGGCTGGCCCACCATCACAACCAACTTTTTGACGATGGCGGATAATTGCTGGTTGTCGTGCCTTGGCACTCCAAGTCCGCCTGGACCACCACCGTTAAGTGGTCGGTTTTCCACTTCACAATTGAGACGTTCGCCCGTTCGCCCATGTGATCCGAGCGCATGCTATGCTCGACTCTACGGCTCAGCTGCTGTCCTGCAGTGCATTCTGTCGGCACCACCGTGACTATTGACATGCATGGTCCAGCTTCCCGAACCCACAGCTGCACTTCCAAGCTCCTTGAAGTAGCCGATGCCTCGGTCCGACAAGGACTTGCTGCCATGCTTTGATAAGGCTTGCAGGCGGCTATGCATGGCAATGGCTCGCGATGGCTCAATGCTCATCTAGGAACCAGCAAGCCGACTGCCCAGCGTGATGCCAAAGGCAGTTCCCCGGTGAGTGTCCGCACCTCCAACAGGCGCATGGCCATGTGCGGCACATCAGCTCATGAACAGATTACATTGTAAGGACTTCGACAGCCGCCTGGAGCTTCAATTCCCAACAACCGTCTCCAACCGATATGCGCTCGTCAGTGCTCTGTCGTGTCGATGCGTATGCCATCTGCCTGGCGCGATAGCCGTCAGGCTATCAGGAACTCCGACGAAGATAAATCTCACGAGTCATGGCAGAAGAGTCTGCCGGAGTGTCTACACATGTCTACATAAGGTGTTGCGGCTCTGCAGGATGTGCAATCTTCCCAGCGGCAGAATGACTAGATAAAGACGATGCTTGAGTTTCCGGGAGTTCCATAGTCACTAGAACAGAAAGGCTGCAACCGGTACAGGTACAGGCATCCCGTGCATCGGGCTCAATTTTTGGTGACTGCTCTTGAGTTCGTAACTTGGCGTGAAACGTGAACGACGTGAACGAGGTGAACGTCGTGGAGTGCCTCGCCAAGGCCCTACCTGTGGTGATCCCTACAGACCTTTAATCATCACTAGGTCCCCACGGCGGGGGTAGCAATGCGTAGCACAGCCAGTAAGCTAGACAAAAGAAACATGACCGCAGTCGACTGGCTGACAGCGGTTCTCTCGTAGAGCACATCTATGGCGGCGGGCATTGATTGGCTTTGCACCACACCTGCCGTTTTTCAGTGGACTTCCATGGCACCCCTCAATGACGATCTTGGTCCTCAGCCGCGGTCACTCAGCCGATTTGGGGTCCTTGCTGGCACAGCAACTCGCCACCGTCGCCACCCGAGCTGTTTAGAGCTACCAGCAGCTACCAACTTCTCCCAAGCCTTCCGGGGCATGAAAGGCGTAGCGGCCCAGGGATTCAGGGGATGCTCCAGGGTACCTCCGGAGACAGTGGAGTCGCTGATGCTTTCCGTCAATGTGTCGGAAGTGGGCTCGCGCCTCCTTTGATGTCACACTCCTGCTGCGCAGACTGCAGCAAACCTGATGTGGCGATTCGTGCAAGGAGAGGATAAGAGGGATTAACTTGACAGAGTTCGGGCACCTGACCTGTGGCATGTAAGCCCCAAAGCTGCATGGCAAATTTGACAGCTGCTTAGCTAGTGTCGTCTACGCACAATAAACGAAGCGCTAATTTCTTGCATCCCTCCCCAGGCCTTTTGCTGCGCTGAGAGATCCCAATGCCTCACAAGTGCTGCACACCACGTCAAGCGGGACAAATCGTGACCAAAAGGCGCTTAAGCATGATGCTATCATTGTCGGATCACCAGATAACACTGCAATGATCTCCCCCCGGTGGAAGAACCAAAGCCGCCCTGACTATCGTAGTGGTGAACATCAGCCTGCAGCATCTGACGCAAACCGCGCTGCCTGCGGCCTAGCAGACCTCAATCATTCCTTTCCGAGCACCTTGAAGGCATAGAATTCCTCGTCGCAAGTGGCATCCTTGTCGATGGTGCATTTGCTGGACCTTGGACACACCCCGTTCGGTTGTTTGTAACTCCGGTTTCATGCAGATTTTGGCTTGGCTGTCCAGGTACTACATGCCACGTTTGCCAACTGTGCTGACGTCCTCCCCTATTGCAGCAGGTCATGGGTTCTTTTTAGACAGGCAAAGCTTTGGAACAGGTTTGCTCTTGGGCGCCAGAAGAACAGCGACCAAATGCGCAAGCGACATGAGAAGACAAGCCACCACGCTACCAAGTCGAAGCTGAACGGACCCCAAACCAGTCGCAAACGGCCTCCCTAAGAGAGAGGCATTTTGAAGCTTGCGTAGTAAGCCTTGCAAAGAAGCCGGCCGCTCAAAGCTAAATACAACAGGATACAACAGGTGTGGGCTGATGTCGGCTGTCCACAAACTCACAGCTGTGAAACTGCAACTATCGTAACTACAGCATGGGAGCACTAGCTTCTTACAGCATTATTCTAACATCCTAGTCTCACATCACCGCTTTCGCAGAACGGACACAGATGCCTGTGACAGCTTGTTGTAGGCAGAGTTCATCAGCTGGGAACACCTGGCCATCGCTGCAGCCTAGATTCCTACATTCAAGCCAGCTGCCGTCTTTTTGCTTTTCTCACTGATGGATCCAAGTCAGTCCGTTCCACAAATCAGCCCTTCAATGCTTCTTCTAATGTGGCCATGAGAAAAAAAAATATATATATATATATTTGATGACGGTGCGTCGCCTGTGGCTTTCTGGATCTGCGTTCCCACACACATCATTGAGGCCCGTTTGGACCGCCGCTGACTAACCCAAAGTGCTTGCGGCAAGGAGCCCCCAGAAGATGCCGAAGCACTGCCACATCGCATTCGCCGCCTGGCATCATATGGGCTTCGCAAAGATGAAAGATGAACGCAGATCTGTTTGTCTCAACAGTCGTGCTGTGGGAGACTCCGGAGCAGCCGTAACTCGGCGGATTGTTGAGAGGAGCAAGATCATAAACAACGCAACAGAACAGACTATGGAACGAAAAGAAGAAAACAAGAAACAGACACGCACTAGGAGCTCCGAGCGGAAGAACAAAACAAAGCACGACATCGAGGAGAGGAGAAAGGCAGAAGAAGGCAATACAGGGACGATGAGAGAAAAGCACTTAAAAAAAAAAGCTACAAAGCACAGAGAAGCAACTAGGAAACCATTTTCTGCAAAGTAGACTGACCCTCAACTTCAGTGTCGGTGCAACCCGAAGCCCTACGCTCAAAACGCCTGAGCTTAACTTTCTCGAGTCCCAACAAGTACAAACCTGGGCCCTTAAACGCCGGAATTCCTGGGCAATCCCAGTTTGAGGCTCCCTGGAGCTGAATCCCTTGAGGCTCAAACCCCCTACAGGCCCGATTCGATTCTCTAAACCACTCTAAACCGTCTAAACCCCTAAGCCCCCCTGGACTCGCCCTCCCGAGACCCCATAAACCCACACAGCCTCATGCAGCCACTCCATGTGGCGACCAGTGGGTGGGAGCGGTCGCAGTTAACACGCTAAGCCCCCACACGCATCAGAAATACACGCTTCGGATGCCCCATCTGCCTCTGCGATCGCTGCTGTTACCTCTGGCAATGGCACCAAATAGTGTCTGACAATGCAAACACAGTATAGAATTTCAGGTCGAGAGTCTAGAGTCTAGAGATAGAATCAGGTCACATGAACGCTTCTGCAACCTTCAACATTCAAGGTGCTGGAGCATTCGGTCATGCTCTCCAAACCCAGGTCTGTTCAGTGCCAGTTTGCATCCCAGTTCATGGCCCGCACAGGGTAACTTTACGATTTTGAACTCCTGAGCCCCCAACTCCACTGGCTTGGTGATGCATTGGCGATTTCGGGCCCAAAAATTGAAATCAAGATGGAGAACGGTAATCATGTGCATTTGCCGAGACGCCTTCTCGAGTGACTTAATGCTATTCTGCGCGCACTCGCGCTGGGCGGTCTTGTTGGTAAGCCTCAAGTCACGGTAATTAGCGAGAAACAAGTCCACATCGAGAGTCTCACAGCGTACACGGTCTTGCCGACAGCAGACAGTGACGGAAGGAATGAAACATGGACAAAAACTTATTGACAACACCAAAATCTCCAAAGGAGTATGCAACACTGTGACAATCAAGCAGCGAAGCCCAAGATGCTGCTGCTTGCCTACTACGTCAACTTATCAGTCTCTCTATATCGATATTGTTCACATCATCTGCAGGATGCTGATGCTATCGCTTGAATCAGGTCTATTCTCTCGGCAGCGTGTATGAAGCAAAACTCACGACCGCAGTCATTGGAGAAGGCTGTGTCTCTCTGGGTAAGGCTGCCGCGATCGGCCGCTCCAAGGCATGAGTGCAGTTGATGCTTCAGTGTTGGGTTTCCAATAGCCGGCTCCTCTTCATTACTACAAGGACGGACCTCGACACTGGTACCAGTACATGCCGCTGTGCCACGACTCGAAGCAATAGATCTTGGAGTTGGAGAGATCGGAAAAGACCTGGCGGATTGGAAGGCCGCTGATGGAAACGACACAGACAGGTCAGGGGCAGCACCTTGGAGGAAGCACATGCAATTGCCAAGCCTTAGTGATGTCCCCGAGCAACTGTGCGTAGTTGGCCGAGCAACCTGCCTTGGCCTCAGCGTTGGCAAGCCATGGGCTTCGACACACAGAGCATAGTTTGAGGCTGCCGCGACCACCTCGCCGCTGCTGTCATTCCTGCGCGGATTGGAAATGCAATGCCTGCTGCGTTTGTAACTTCATCTCCCGCAGCGGGGGCAAGGCCCAACTTGAAGACTGAAGGAGGGACCCTCCGGATGTCACTCTTGTATCAATGGCAAGGCCCTAGGTCGGCCCCCTTCCTGTCTTCTCTTCGCACCGACCTCTTCGCATCAGTCCGAAACAGCCCAAGTGACATTGTCAACGAACACTTGCAACGGGCATCAACGGGCCAAGAAGGCGTTCTTATCAGCAGAATACCTGAAAGTGCCTTCCCTGTCTCGATTCTGCACACGCGTACACGAGCGGAACACGCTTCAAGAGGCAACTGCACCTGCTAAACCACCCACATACACAAGAGGGCAGCGATGCTTCACTCATAGAGCCAAACACAAACAGAAAGCATTGAAGACATACACGAATCTACCGGTGACCACTCGCAGCGAAAGAGAGCCTCTTCAAACATGCCTGCCGAAATGCAATGTTGGTCGGGCGGCTGTCCTTGCCATGAGGTCCTCGATTACTGGGAACCTTGCCACCGACTGGAGGAGCTGCCGGTGACAGGTTCGTAGATTCGACGTGTCACTGTCCGAATTGAAGCACTACGTGCGAGGCGACCTCTTGCAGCCTGGCGTGCAAGCTCAGGTCGTGATTGAGAAAAGTGGCTGGTACTCCGCGGCTGCCCAAGCGAAGGTCAACACCTCGGTTGGAATCTTCGAGGGCATTCTTGCATGAGGTGCCAGCACCGAAAGTCGTCTGATGCCCTGAACCTTTCCCCTTTCCCACGATCAGCGAAACATGCGAGAGCAGCCTCCTTACGGAACCTGTATTTTGAGAGTTAGGATACTTGCATGTAGCAGAGCATTGCACAACCCACAGCACACTATTCTGGGCCTGGGGTGGCTAGCAGCACCACGTTGCTGTTATGCAGGACCTTTTGTATGCTGCTGGTCACTTCTGCATGCAGTTATTTCGGCATGCTGCTTCGGGCATGCCTTGCCAGATGATATGTTGTTTCTACGGAGCCTGCCTCTGCCGGCTATTCCATGACTACTTTGCCGCAGGGGCTCAGAGCTCAAGTACTGCAAAGAGCCATTGGTGCCGCGTTGCATTCCTCGGCTTCAGAAAGGGAGGAAGCAAAGGTACTTCCCCAACCGCTTTTCATGAAGCCGCACGATCTGCAGGAGTGATTCCCGCTGTCACTAAGATGCTGCACACCACATAGCAACAAGGGCAGCAGTTGGTCATGACAGCTGCAAGAAAGCAGCTCATGTTCAAGTCGGCGGTCATGGGCTCACCATCAGTAAAGGCCACCCTGGAATTTTAGTCGCTGCTCGTGACGGCGTAGAAATTGGACAGCAAACACGGAGGGGCACTTCGAGTATCCGTCCAGCACAGGCCAGGCCCAAGTCGAGTATTTCTGAGCGCAGGTCACAGGGGCACGGCTCAAACGAATGAGAGCTTTGTTGGCTGTCGGGCTGTTTCCGTGGACCTGGAGGTGCAGCAAGACGTTTTGGGCGATAGTGGCCTCGCGGTGTTCACATCGCCCTTCGGACGATTGCTGCAGAAACATCGATCTTTGAATTATTGTCCGATCTGTTGCGTACTGAGCATCAAGCACACAAATTATGACAGTCTGCGGCACCCGTCCCATCATAGGTTCGGCATTTAGATCCTCGCATGGTGCCTTCGAGGCATTGGAAGGCCGCGTATCAATGTCCACAGCCGAGCTGTTGTCCTCGGGAAACGCTACGTCACATAGAGAGCGAGACAGACGAAGCCGACACTGCCTTTCCTTTGCATGAAAGCATGCACTACTTTTACCCCCAACCCCAAGGGCTGAAGAGATCCAGGACTGAACAGCGGAGCGGGCGGGGCTGAGGCAGTGTCCCAAAATTTGTACATGCGTGCGATGCGTCCATGGCCAGCTCAAGTCGGCCAAGATGCCCGTGCTTGCAGCAACAACGGCACCACCTGCCGTGCAAGCTCGCGGCAAGCTGGCAGTCAGAGAGCAGGGCTTTCGGGCCTTGGCGCGTGATGCCTACGCTGGGGCCTACAGCTTCACAGCACAACTTCTGCATGCCCCGCCTCGCCAAGTGCCTTCCGGAGTTCAGTGCCCATTTCCAACCTTGCTACAACGCAAGTTCCATGTGCCCCAAGTCTCAGAGCCGTTTTCCTGTGCCGCTACAGCCGCTGCAGCTGGTTCATGTGCGCATGTTCCGCTGTCGTTGTGGAAGTTGAAGGCGGAACCGCGGAGGCTCCGCCGGGGTCAGCACAGCCCACTTAAGGAAGCGTCTTTAAACCAACCTGAGCGAAGTTGTTTTGTTGTCGTGCTTTGGAAAAGCTTTTTTGCTGGAGAACAGCTGCGTCGTAAATCCCAGCCAACATCCGCTTGGTCTAAAAAAGGCTTTTCGCTTGATAGTCTGAAGGAGGAGGCCTGATGGGGGACGCTCCAAGTAAGGACTCATACGGTTTGGGGTTTAAGCCCTGGGGTTTGGTGTAGGACTTTGATTAAGAAATCCTGGTCGTATAACCCCAATATATTGGGATCCATATAGGGGACCCTAATAGTATTATAAAGATGCAGGGTTTCTGAATCAGGTTCCTATTGGGGTTTGGGCTCGTAAGGCTTGGTCGAGGTCGAGTTGTGGAGGGTTTCATAAGCATAACATAAGGTCTTTATCAGGTTTTCGTAGACTTGCTTCCCCAATAAGCCAGGGAAATAAAAGGTTGAACTTTCAGATTACTACTAAATTATAAGAAACCAAAAAGTTTAAAGGTTGGGTATTCGAGAACTACGTAGAGTTATCGGGTCTTGCATGGGTTCTGCTGCTCGGCCCCCCCATTCTCACTGAACAACAGGTCTCTTGTAACAAGGGTTGGTGGGCACTCCTGTTAAACCCAAATGGGCTTTGTGCTGCAGGGTTTAGGGACTCGTATTCCGCTTGGCCTTTACGATCCAAGAGCTAAGTCGGCTAAGTCGACCCTTTTTCTCAGGGTTTAGTTTAGGGCAGCGGCGAATGAGGGGCTTCGGTCGTTGGGGCATTGTCTTTCGGTGTAAGCCGCTGGCTTTTACTCGGCTTTGGGGTTGAGTTCGAACGGTCACAGGTATCGGGTTTATCCTCACAATGGCGCTATTCTCGTAGAGGTGGACCGTTGTGGTTCAGCCAGACGGCGTCAAGCGAAGCGACGGGATCCGTGTTTGCAAGAACCTACTCCTTTCCAGCAGAGCTTTCCAGGCTAGGGACGGAGATCATGCGCTGCCAATAGGAATTGTCTGCGTGCAAGGGGCAGTGTCTTGTCCTCATTGGTCTTGTCGGATACCTCGGCTCTGCTTCGGCCGGGTCGCTCGGATACCCACTGTAAGGCACCACTTCGAACCCGGCACTGCATACCTTGTGGCAGCTAGCCCCTGCTTTCAAACAGCAACGCCGCGAAACTTCGGAAAAAGAAGCAGCTTGACAAGATTACCGTCTTGACAGCATCACGGCAAAACTGTAGCCACGCACTATCGCCGAGCTTGTCCTCCGAGCCACTGTCAGCGCAAGGCGCTTCAAAAGTTCTGCTCCCTGCGGCATGTCACAACATGGTGCAACACGGTTTCTCTGCCAAGCGACATTCGAAGGACTGTCTGGCGAAAGGTTTTCCTCAAACTAGGCTCGCGGCTACTTGCTCCAACTGGTCAACGGCCGTGTGGAGTGGAGCCACTACCGTGTCCTGTCACCAACGACGCTCGTCAAAGTTGGGCTCGCGTGCGTTGGATCAAATCAATGGGTTCCTACACTTTCTTCTTTGCAGTGTTTCGATATATGTGCAAAACATGCTCAGACAACCACGCATACTACATGGTGTTGTTTGCTCATAAATATAATTAATATTACATATACACACAACCACTCACTGATACGCATGATTGGATCGGAGTCCAACCCGAGCCTGATGCCAAGTATGAGAGTAGGTGGCAAAATAGAAGCCGAACCAGTGGACTCAAAGCTCAGACTCTACAAGGCCGGATCGTAAAACCGTGGAAGCCGTCGGTCCTGGAAAGGACTCGCCTGCCAGACCGGTCCAAATTGATGCAAATACGTCATGATCAGCACTCCACACGACTCCACGACTCCACGCTCAGGTCTTGATGAAAGGAGCGTTCTTCAATCAGCTATTACCCAAAGCTGCTGATGGAGGACTCGCCTTGCACCTGGTGCAGCTCTCGTCCCCGGCCCAAACCTCAGCGAATCCCAGTCCCCGGCCTCCAGTGGTGGCGGCGGTGCCACCGGACCCACCTGCCGAGCTGCAAAAACGTCTGTTTGCTCACCCACAACGGAACGGCCCAGAGGCATCCTCAGTCCCCTACTGTTAAAAGCGTTGCTGGACAAATGGAACGCGCTCACAGCTCTGGCTGTTGCTCCTGTCTGGCTCTCACCAGCTGTGAGCCAGCAGTTGAGACCCTCAAGGAACCTCTGCCGCAATGGCGGCTATCGGCAGAAGCCATACGCGGAGCATCGTGTGTGCCTGGTAACTGCTGTGGACAGGAAGCACACATGTTGTCACATGCCCACAAAAACAGCTTCACCCATCGCGCATCTTGCACTCATGCGGCTCCGAGTCAGGCCTCTCTTAGTTCACCACCACCGCTGTTCACACTATGGAAGAGAACACTGAGCCGAAATTCCCAAGCGTGAGATGTACAGCTCGCTGGTTTTGTTCGGGAGTTCGGGACAGGGGCAACGCCATGCCTTGCAAGCCAGACTCTGTCAATTGCAATGCACAAACCAGCCCTGGGCACTAGCAGTAGCAGTACTGCGTGCAATTCCGCCGCGAACCTCAAAGCAAAGCCTTGGTGTACTGTGCGAGGCTGCGCTTCTCGCGAATGCGCTCACAGCGCTCCGTCAACTGGCAGCGGACAAGCGGACAACAGGCTCACTGTGCTTTCTCCTCAGCGGGAAAGTGAGAGATGGGCCGTGGGCAGTGAGTAGTGAGAGGAGACAGAGGAGCGCGGAGTGAGGACACGGACCACAATCAACATCACCCTCGCTCTTTTCACGACGGATGCGTCGCACATTCTTAGGCTTCGCACTTCGAGCATCATAGCCGTGAGCGCAAACTTCACAACAGGAAGATCAGATGCGAATTGCAAGCGAAAATGGAATCTTCACAGTCGCCTTGCAAAGGAAGGATGTCAATCCTACCTTGCACATATTTTATGGGTTGTGGTCGGCATAGCACCTGAGACAGAGGGTGAGGGCCAAAATGAGAGTGAAACAGAAGTGACGAGTGAGAGTGAGGGTGCGAGTGAACAACGAGTGAAGAGTGAGGGGTGAGAGTGAGATGAGACGAGTGTCCCAATGACATGCTGCACTGCACTACACTATTACTAGACGGTCACATTTGTATGGGCTGCTCCCGCACAATTACATGCTGCACTACAACACTGGATGCAAAGGATCCGATGCAACAAATCCGTGGCTTCAAGACCGTGCCCACATTTGGGTCGTGGTCCTCACTTGCCAGCGGCAGGACCGGCAGGACGCTTCACATACGGCTGGGACCCCTTCTCCATCTGCTGTTGAACTTGCGTGAGCAGCGCCGGGCTTTCGCAGGCACCTGGAAAGCTCCGCTTGAAGGCTCTCGATCGAGGCGAAGAGGCGAAGCGGCGGCGAAGCGGCGGCGAAGCGCCGTCCGGCTGGGCCCTTGAGCAGCCGACTGCGACTCCTCTGCTTCTCTCTGGCTCTCGGGAGCCAGGGCCTCGCTGCTCAAGAGCTAGAGTCGTTGCGAGTGTCCTCACTTGATGTCTAATGCCTGCGAGATTTCAGCAGCACAAGCTCATATAAATTCGCGCATAATCTGACAAGGAAAGCATGCTTACTTGCTCACAGCTTCAAGCGAGCGTCAAATGCCCAAGGTCAATGCTAGAAACTCGCTGATGCCATGCTCAAGGTTGAGTGCTGAACACTGCTGAACACAAGCCTACCCGGTCGCAAGTAATTCTTGGCGCACGTCATCAATGAGCTCTGTGAAGACATCAAAGCGGCGAATGTCAATCTGCTCCTGCGGCTGCAGGCAGGGAGGCATCTCTAGGCATCTCCTCGAGCAGCAGAGCTTCGGAACAAGCGGATTCATGCAGCCCACTGCAATGCAAAGATGTCTCTTGAAGTATTCTGCGGATCCCTGCCGGGCGCCCGACAGCATCTGCCTGTCCAACTGCAGATGGGTTGGCACCTACCTGGCATCAGAGTGCAGACTCTGAAGAGTCAGTCGAGGCTTTGATCTGATCTGCGCCACATCTATGTAGCCGGCATAACCAAATCTCAAGTATGCTGTTGTGCCACGGATCGGATGCTGCCTGAAAGGCGTAGATGGGGCAGTAGCCGTAGCCTGGATGGGCCAAGCAAACCCTACTCGAAACGCGATGAACGATGTTGCAGGCCAGCACTCAGCACGCAGAGCAGAGCAAGAGCCACTTGCGACAGCTTGCGGGCACACTCGCCGGCGCAGGCTAAATATGCTAATCCCAAGAAGCGCCGTCACAGGACTTCGATGCGGGTCAGAGCTTCCGGCAAACATCGTCGAGTTTTCCCTTGCGCGATGGGGATGACCGTGGCATGCGCGGAGACCTTGGAGTTCTCCGTAGTGCGGCTCGAAGCCCTCGAACTTGACCTTGAGGCCTTGGGATGGCCTTAGGATGGCCTCGGGCTTGGGGCTTCCAGATGTCGTATCGATCACTTCTGCCAGCGGCGCCTCGAACCATGCAGTGTGCAAAAGCATGCCGCAGGGAACGACACCGAAAACAGCATCTTGTTTGCTTGAGCTGAGAGGCTTTGGCTGCCCGCGAGGTTGCTCCATTGGCTTCATCAGCTCTAGCAGTGTCTCGTGTAGTCTGGCACATGCAGCAGTGACAAAGAAGAAATCGCAAGAAACCTTACATGATAAGATGCGAGCTTCTAGTCTCCCTCAACATAACTTTGTGTTCGGTCCTGCCTCGCATCCCTCGCAGCCAGAGTGTGTAGAAGATCTCGTGCACCCCCGTGCATCTGTGCGACGAGGCTGGGCACAGACTCCAAGCAGCGCTGCCCGTTTAACTTCTGCAGCACTTCCTGACCGAATCGTGAAAGCAGGCACATAGGCGCACCGTGTGGCCACATGACCTGCTGTTCCTATGCTCTTTGCCTCATCCTACGGTCAAGCTCTTGCTCCTGAACCAGTTCGATTGGCAGTAGGAAGACAGACCTCCTGGACTCCAGCAATCCACTTCGTCAGCTCTACTGCGTCAGCATTTGGAGTCGAAGCGAACAACTGGCCAATCAAAGGGCTGGGGCGGCCAACATGGCCAAAGGGCTAGGCCAGGCAAACATCCAGCAAGGCTGGCCTCAACTCGTCGCCCCTCCTTTGTCTTTGACTTGAAACATCTGAGATTGAGCTGGTAGATGCACTTTGTGACTGGCAGTTTTCTTCGCGGCATGTTGGTGCATATGCTCTGGCTGTTTCACCAGGCATGCAAACAATGCGTGTGCGCATGTGCGGGTGCGCATGTGCGTGTGCGGGTGGGTGGCGGGTGAGTGTGGAGAGCATGTGTGAGTGCTGGGGTGGATGGGTGTGCGCACCTTTTAGATTTTCTCCTCTCTGCTTCGCGCAAACCCATGCGGGTCGCTCTGCTTCGCGCACCCAATGGGGGTGTAAGGAAGGAAAGGCAGTTGCTGTCGGGCTGATTGCGCTCCAAATGCTGGCTCGCGAAAGTTACACCTAAATGTCTCGGACAAGGCTCTATGATAGGTTGATGATCTTCCCGCATCAACTCATAGAGAGGCAAGTAGTAGTCGTCCCGAGGTGGCTTTCGCAGATCGGCTTTGAGCCACTGGTAGTCATCCACATGTGCATCCACTGGGCTGCTGCCACTGCTAACAGCATGGTTGCAGAGAACGGCGATCGCCTCTGGCAAGGTCTTGTAAAGCTTCAATGGTAGCGCCGGCTCCTGTTTCGGACCAGTCGTCTGTAGGAAGGTGAAGTACTCATGGGAGATGGCTTCTAGCGCAGGCAGATAGCGAGCTTCCCCGCTCAGGTTTGGGCAGCCACCATGCCAGACACGGACATCTCCTTGGTCAGCTTCTGTGCTTGAACGAAGCGAGAAAATCTGCGAGTCCCAGTCGCTGAGTCACCACGGATTATTCCAGCGCTCCACTAAACCACCAAGGCCGAGCCTCGGACCAGGCAGTCTCCGGCCTGGAAGGCTTGCGCTACGTCTTTTCAACTCAACGTAGTGGCTTTGTACGTAAAGTGCGAACAAGCAGGACGACTCGATGCAAGGAAAGAGGGCCGGCTTCAAAAACCTGCCTGCAAAGGAAAGACCTTCGAGCGCAGCCAGTCGCTGCGCTTCTCCAACTCATCTCCCAGACTCGGAGCATCCAACCAGGGTTTGTCCTGCACGAGATGGGCTGCTGATGGCTGGTGGAGCTGGCACGAGCGGGTCTGAGGGCTTGCGGCTTGGATTAAGGTGTCCTGGCAGTAGGCAGCCATCTCCGTCCAGGACACAATCCGCATAGGGCCGTTGTATGCAGTGAGATCTTGCACGGCATAGTTCACGCAAACGAGCGGGGGGAAGTCCTTGCAGTGTACCGGAGCATTCTTCATTTTGCTTTTGCTGCTGCCTTTGCCTTTCAAGGGTCGTGCTGGGCGCATGTCAGAGTGAAGCTTCTGAAATTCCCATGTCAAGCCAGTGCAGTAGTCGCCACCCAAGCCAGAAACCAGGAAGCAACCATTAAAAATCCGATCCATCAGGGCAAGGACAGAAGGTGTCAGGAGGTGCAGAAAGGACGACAAATGCATACAGCTTCTGGAAGGAGTCAAACTCCCCATCGAGTACCGCTGCGGGTTCCGGTTGCCCAGGCCCTCGGGGTCGATTCGGCGCACGTTCTCATGCAGACGCGTGCAGGCCTCGTAGACTTCTTTCACGTCATGTTCACAGAGAGCACCACGCAGAATCACGAAGCCGTTCTCACGAAATATGCCTGCTGCTTCGCTGACAGACCCTGCATCAACGGCCACGGCCTCAACATCCAGCGAAGATCTCGACGGAAAGCAGACATCCAGCATGCCCAACCTGGAGCTTAGACTTAGACACAAGATCCGACATGTCAACACGGTTACTTCACCATGCTAATGCCTCACCCTCTCGATTAGGAACAGCTGCATGTTACGATTGAAGAACATGCATGCATGGATCCTCAACATCCCACAACCCTACTACTGAGAGTGCAGGGCGTGGAAAAGGTCACTGCTTCGGACGCCGACTTCTTAGTAAAAAACATCAAAGGCCGGCAAAAAAGTAAGGCAAGTGCTGCCTGAGGACTCATCGTCCGTGCTCGCGGCAGCAGAAGGAGTGCAGGTGACCGTCATCATCCAAGATCAACAACAATCCACAAAGTCACTGGAATGGTCGATCATGTCGGTTTAGCCCCTCTACCTCTACCTGCACGAAGACGCTGGTGCTACCTGTTGGGACGTGTTCGGCTTGCATTCGGACCGAAGCCAGTCATGCCTGCCAAAGCAGGACTGCTTGCAGTAGAGTCTCTAAGCTGAGCAGAAAGTCATAAGATTTTGAGGCATCCCGCAAGCTTATACTCCGGCAGACTGTGCGTGGGATAAGGTCAGGGCGTTTCTCCACCTCTGCGTGGACAATGTCCTGTGCAGTTTTGAGGGCACGTGACTTCTAGCGAAGCGGCGCGGAGCCGGTACAGCCCGGCCTTGGGAATGACGGGGCCAAGACCTCCGAAGTGCCAAAACAGGCAGCAAACCCCACAACCGGGTCAGACCAAAGCCTCCATGGACGATAACGATGCGAACTCCATAGCTTTCCTGAACCTGGGCGTGCCGGGCGTGCCGGACGTGCCACGAGCCTATCAATTGCTCGAACTCAAGCAAACACACGGCAAAAGATGGCGCAAACCCAATGCATCACAAGCCTGTCCGAACTCCAGAGCAGAAAACAGCATGTGAACATCCTGCGAGCTTTTCGGGAGATCTTGCTGAAATAGGGGCCTCTCCACGACCCCTCTCGAGGCCCATGCTCTATCGATCTCCTCCATGAGCATGTCGAACTGGCTTACGCCTTCGTTGCGAGCTTTGCTGGGAGCTTTGCTGGGGCCTGGAGAACGAGATTCAGGCCATTTCGCTATATTTCGCTGCAGAGCATGAGCCGCCCTCAGGGCGTGGCTTTTCGTCTTGAGAATAATTGGGATCACTTGCACCTTGCAAGGGTTCCGAGGTCACGAGCTGAAGTCGCGTGACTGAAACGCAACGGTAGAAGACAAACTCTGTGATTCTTCACTGCGGGATCATGTTCTCTCCATCAAACTCCCACGTTGCTCCACACCTTCCGCCGCGGCAGGGGCACCACTGGGCCTTCTTCGTCTCCTTGTGGCACAGATTGGCACAGGTCATGTCAAGCTCCGCATCACTTTTGGCAAGCCATCTTCAGAGAGCCAACATGCATACACAGCCTAACGGGCAGCGCACGCAAGTTCACTGAAAGCGCCGGTGAAGGCCTGCCTGAGTCCTGCTCCGGCGCTTCATCCTCTCAACACGATCTGCAATTGAGGAGCTTTTCAACTGCTGAAAGATTTGAACTTGAAGGCACGGGTTCTGAAACGATACGATACGAGTAGTGTATGTCCATCCCGCAGAATGTTGGAGGCTTACCCCTGCAGTGTATGCAAGCATGGGTGAAAAACGCTGAAGTCCTCCGAGAGCGCAACCTGAACATGGGAACATGGTGTGAAGGTTTGGAGAACATCTGGTCACAAGATCGCCGCTCGATGACTCGAGAACGTGCATATTGCCTGGCGAAAGCCACGGCCAATAGCTTGAAGCTTGTGCTTCGACCCGTGTCGGTGCAGGAGCATGAGACGCCGAAGTTCTAGCAAATCGGCATTAGCATAGGATGCCCGCCGGACGCCTCACCAAAAGCCTCCCTGCGGACGCGCTCGACCATTTCCTGCTCTTCCTGACGCATCTGCTCCTGTCAGGGAGTCTCACAGCGCAATAGGGAGAAGGAAGACAAAATGCACCTACTTTGCTCTCCGCTTCTCCAGAGTCTAGAACAACTTGGTACTGCAACCTCGCTGCGGTTATCCTGGCGGCGCTCTTCCTCCCAACGATCCTGATCACGGCCCTGCCACCGGGCCTGCAGCGGGATCAGGATCGATGCGTGCGCAAGATTCGGGAAATGCTGGGCGACGTTCAGACGCGATAACTCTTACAAGTAGAATGCAGGAATGTGAAAAATTCAGAAACGATTTCAGTAAACATCCTTCGACATTCGCGCAACGAGCATAGACATTTCAGCCGCACACCCTCGACAAATCAAGAAAACCTGCAGCGACAATTCGTGGACACGAGACGTGTGGCTGTTTTGCTTGTCGTGCCGCTTGTTGTTTCTCCGGTTGTGCTATGAGTGCCCTTGCTGTTATTGGTCTTGCGGCTGTTGCCGCGAGTGACCACGCTGAGGATGGAAGAAGAAGTTCTTTGGGGTTTCCTTCCACTGGACTGCTACGAAACAAACACACACACACACACACAAACACACACACACACAACCACCTCTCCGCCTGTGGCAACCGTGTCACGGACCCAGGACCTCGCTCACGTGATTTCCGACATGAAGGTGGCCTGTAGCCGCTTTGTGTCGATCTCGGCCTCTTCGTTCCAGCTTTGGCGGTCGGTGTAGTAAATCTAAGCACAGAATCGAACTCGACAACTACAACACCTTTGGCCTGACTTTGCTCCGATACCCGGAGATCCTCGGGCACTGGCAAACTCACGCTCGGGCTGGACCGTTTCGGGGTCCGCACTCCATGCACCTGCCAGAACGAAATTCATGTCGTCCTATCGCGTATGGCAACATGATGTCTGTAAGCTGGCAGGCCCTGACTAACATAAATTTGCATCACTGTGCGCCAGAGTTCTTCAGAAGTGGCAGCTCTGTGTCTGTGCCGTCATCATTCCAGACCATCCATGTCTCAGACCTGAAGCTGCCACGCGCCGGCGGCTTCGGCGCCCACGACCGGATCCTAGCTGCTGCATCCATTCCGCGCAGCTTCACCGAAATCCAAACCACCACGAGAGAGACATTGGCTTGCATTCGAACTCCCGTGATCAACGGTCTGAGGTTTCGCTACTAACCTTCGCCTTAGCCTGCATGAGGTCGCGACCTGGGGCATCCGGTGGGCCTTCTTCCGCTGCCTTGCCAGGAGGTCACAATCGTATGCACGCCGTCGCTTCAAGATTAACAGCTTGACACTTGTGTCCGTGAAGAACAGAAGCCTGCAGAGCGCGGAAACCCATTAGCACACGTCGACTGTTGCAGCGGCCCTTTGGAGCAAATGTGGCCCGAGCAACTGAGTCCTAGAAACACAGCAGCGCCGCAGTGCGGTTGGGCAAACTCCCAGGCAACTGCCTTGTAGTCGTCTCCGCTCGGCTGGAGCACCTGGAACCGTGAAGCCTCAAGGAACGTGGACGTGACATGACGTGACGACAATAGTCAGTTGGATGTTATCAGATCTGTAGTCACGGCCAACCTTCAAAGCACCTGATTAAAACCTTGGGACAATGACTTCTGTACACACACCCCGAAGAGACTGTAATGCCCATAGGCAGAGAAATTGCCCTGATTTTTTCAAAGCTTCATGGCATAACGCCGGTCTTCCGCGAGAGGCCTCGTTACCTGACAAAGCAGACTTGCATGCACTCGGTGCCATGCATGGCTGGGCGTCAGAAGCTATCTGCACACTTTGAGTTTGCCCGTAGTCTTATGACAAGTGGTAAGTAAGTGGATGCTTTCCGTGCCTTGGCCAAGAGATTCTCCACATCGCTGCCGTGAGCAGCCAAAGCGAACGGAGACATCGAGTAGTTGTTGTGAAGCTCAGGGTCCGCCCTGCGAAGACGTAAACAGTCAACAGCTTGAAAACTCCAAAGCATTCGGAACTTTCTCAGACAGGGCTAAGTACAATGGCGAGCACGGCTTTCCAGGGGCGACGAAGATTGAGCTCAATGCACAAAACAGAGACAAGCCACAGCTCGCTTGTTGCTTCTATTTACGTGCAGTCGAGCAAGCACATCAAGGTTCGCGCATGTTCGTACCAGCAGCGCCTGCTGTCCAGGAGCAGTTGCACAACCTGATCGCCAACATGCTGACCACAGTGTACCAGATGGGCTCTGCTCTGGCTGCAGCCCAACGAACCCTCCGTGCCAAGTCCAGTCACCTCCAAATGTCCCCACTCGGCCGCAAGGTGAAGTGCGGCATTGCCGTCTTTCGGACGCCGCCAGTTCACGTCCTCATTTCTAGCAGTCGTAGGTGAAACGGTGGCAGTAGTGGCACAAGTAGTAGACGTAGTAGTCGTCGTAGTAAGTCGTAGTAGTAGTAGTAGTCGTTGTTGT